CCCCCAGGGGGGATGCCCATGCTGCAATCCCTTCTCCTCCATTATCCTCTCAGGATCTTGGGCATGCATGCACATGCCCAGTGTGAATTTAAGCCACCAGGTTCAGGACTTGAACTGAGGTCGACTGCATGGGAACCCAGCGACATAGCCATTATGCCAACTGCTGGCCCCCATATTCTACCACTTTCTATCAAATGCCAGGGTCTTATTTTTTTTTTAATGGCCGAATAGTATTCCATAGAGTATATGTGCCACACTTTTTTCATCCATTCATCTGTTCTTGGACATTTGGGTTGGTTCCATGTCCTAGCGATTCCATGTCTTAGCAATCGTGAATAATACTGCAATAAACATTGATATGCAAGAGCTTTTCCGACTGAGCATTCTCCTGTCCTTTAGGTAGACAGCCTCCTTCTCAATCATCTTTACAAGGCCTTTCTTCTGTTCTTAAACAGAGGGAGGCTTGAGGAAGAGAAGAAAAGGGGAGACAAAGACAGAGATATAGAGAGACAAAGAGAGATCTCTGGTGTCCTTTACTCTCCCCACCCTTATGACCTCATTTTATCTTAATTACTCCCTTAAAGGCTTTATCTACAAAACAATCACATCAGGAGTTAATGGCTTCAAAATATGAATTTTAGGTAGGGGACACAAATTAACCTATAATAGGACTGTCATTTTACCCTGGAGAGCATTTCAGGTTATTGGTAAGAAGTTTTATCTTGGCTGTGATAAAATGTTTAATAAGAATGGAGTTTGCTATTTAAGGCCCTTCTACTTTTAATTGACAAAGTTTCCCGCTTTATGGGACATAAACTACTGCCCAAAAGCTGTTTTCCACATAATGTTTAAGACATTCCCATACCTTACATACTCCACCGGTGATATATCTCCCAGGAAGCTTTCGAACCACACTTCTCTTCAGGTGAGCTGGGTCCCTCTCCTCTCTGCACCCATAACACCTGTGGGATCAGCTCTTAACCATGCAGGCATCATGCAGTTCTACAATGATCTGCTTATTTGTCTTTTCCTTGGAAAGACAGATATTTTTCAGAATTTTTTTTCTTTATTCATGATAGGATGCGTGCATGAAAAAAGAGTAAGAGAGAGAGACAAGTACCCTCTGTAGGGTCTAGTCATGATGCAATCTCCTTACTCCAGTCTAGCTTATTGGATCTTGGACACCTGCACATGTATCCAAAGTGTTTCAGACAGACCCAGATGGGATTTGAACTGCAGGCTTCATGTGGTTTCTAGCGCTGCAGGGCAACATGCTACTGCTTGCAACACCATGACTGGGCCTAAATAGTGGGCCTCTTGAGGACAGGGTCTGGATCTGATCTCATCCATGTTTATACCGGGCACCCTTCTCAGTGCCCACAACCTGTTAGATATTTGACATGTGTTCGATGGATGGAAAAAGGGTCTCCTTGAACTATTGATTAAAGCAGATATTCCACAAAGCTGATGCTTAAGCTCAGAAACCCTCATTTGCATGAGAACCTACCTAGTGATTTTGAATCTATAATTTAGAACTTTCTTCCTTAGAGAGACCATCCTCTTATCCCCAAAAAGCAACCAACTACTATAAAGTTTTAGACTCTTCAAAATCTGGCTATGCCCCTGGGTTACAGAGGTGGAGTATGGCTCTCAGTTCTTATTAAATTTTCTTCTCTGTTTTCCACCGGAGAGATGGGAACTACCTCAAATACATTTCTCCTCTGTGAGACTATGAGATATAATCTTGTCACTCAGTCATCCTTTGATCAAAGGAAATGAAATGCTGGAGCCGTGTGGCTGGCAGCAAGGAATACACTGACTTCTAAAAAATCACATCAATTAAAGACAAAACAAGGTGCCCAAGCGTGATTCCAGTAGCGTTTTCTTCCTGCCAACTATTACTCACAATCTTCACAGAGAGGGGTAGTACGGCCACATAGGTCAGCTTTTGCATGCTGTGCTCCAATAGGAGCTAGCCATTCACCTAGGTATCTGGCATCAGAGGGCCATAGCCATCCACCTTGCAGAGTCTGCAGAATTAGGGACTAATCTTTAAGTCATCTCCATCACCCTTATCCTTCACACCTGCTCAGTCACAAGTTTGGCCTGCCTATCCTCTCATTAATGTCTCATGTTAGCTCAATTTTCTCTTCTCCTCCATTGTCACTGTCCTGGACTCCTCGCACTTTTCAACCAGCTCTAACTGCTTTTCCTTCTTCCATTCTTGCCCCGCTTCAATTCAGGCACCACAGGACAGCCAGAGCGACCTTTTCAACAATTCCAGCCGATCTCATGGCCCCTGTGCTTGAATCCTTCAGTAACTCTCTATTATACTCAGAATAATGCTCAGATTCTGTTTTCTATAGAAAGTCCTTAGGACCTGGTTGCTGTTTATTTCCTCTTCCTCATCTCCTCCCACCCCACTCCTTTCTGACACTTCAGGACTCATCGTATTAAATACTTGTAATTCCTTGAAGGTGCCATGCTCTCTCTACTATCTGATGTGGGTACTTGTAGACCCCTCTACCTAGAGTCTTTTTAGACTTCCTTGACTCATTTCTTTCCATTGTTTATTTATTTATTGAGAGTTTGTCCATTTGTTTACTATAGGGCATGTGAACTTGCTGGAGACACAGACACACAGAGAGAAATCACCCCTCGGGGGGATGGCCATTTCACAATCTCTTCTCTTTCATTCTTCTCTTGGAATTTTGAACACATATGGACAAGTGCTTGCTGTGAATTTCAAACCACCATGTCCTGGACTCGACCATGTGAGTCCATGGTCGACCATGTGAGAGTCCCACAATGTAACCATTATGCTGCCTGCTGTCCCTCCACTCTGTTTATAGCAGTGCTTCCAGGCCAGATGGTTGCATGGTGCTAACATAATAGATTGTGAGGTGGGCCCACATGAGAAGGTACCAGTCTTGTATCTGAAGACCTCCTTGATTACACTGGGCATGCACGTGTCCATGATCCATGGCTGACAGCAGCTGGGGTGGATCATGGCATGAAGACTCTGTTGGGATTGTCTTTCTCTCTTCCTCTGTCTCTCTTGCTAATGGAAGAAAGAAAGAAAGAAACTTGGGACCAGCAAATGACATAGTAGTTATGTCACTGAACTCCCACATGGCTGACCACGGTTTGAGCCCCAGACCCAGTGGCTTAAGACTCATACTGGTCACATGTGTGTGAGTGCCCAAAATTCTGAGAGGAAAACGGAAGAGAAAGGATAGTGGTGTGGCCATCCACTTTGGTGGGTGATTTCTTGTTTTCTGTCTGTCTTTCTGGTGAGTACACACGCCCTCTAGCAAAAATCTCTCTCTCTCTCTCAAAAAAAAAAAAATTCAGTGCTGTCCAATAGAAATATTAAATTAGCCACATAATAATTTTATTTCTTTACAGAATTATTTAGTTTAATTTATTATTATTTTAAAATTTTGCCACAGGGGCTGTGTACTCACCAAAGAGAAACAGAGACAGAGAGACACACACGCACAAAATGAGAAAGCAGGCTGCCAGGTCTGACTCATACCGCAGTCGGCTATGTAGGAGTCCAGTGCCTTAACCACCATGCCACCTGCTGGCCCCAAGCCACATATTTATTTAATTGTAAAGTTTTTAGTAGTTACATTTTAAAAAGCAAAAAGTATATGAGCACTATAAAACAACAAAATCTTACATGATGCAATGGCAAAATGGGTGCAGTCAGTCCTAAGACTACAAGATTATGTTTAATGGAAAACCATTTCACACTGCTGCTGTTTTATGCTTAAATTAATACGAAAAATTTGGTTCCTTAGTCATACTAGTCACATTTCACAACTTTAATAACTACATTGGTCTAGTGGTCATCTAATTGGATAGTACATGTCCAGACATCACTTTCTCTGATATTTCCTATATTTATGAGGTTATTGGGAAAGCCATGACACATTTTTGCATAGAAAAATATGTCATGACTTTCCCAACAACCCAATATTATGTATTCTGTGTTTAATCCCATCACAATACTTATCAGACTATGATTAGGTTACAGTTGTCTGCTTACTTGTTTCTGTCTTTCATTAAATGCTGAGCTGCTAGACAATGAAGACTTTGTCTTACTCATTTCTGTCCATCAGCACCCAACAATTGTGGCCTGAAATAATTGCTTGCTTTGTTTGTTTGACTGAGGTTGAATGTCTAAATAGCAACAATCTTCTGAGTCTACAGGGCACTATAAAATCTGGTCCCTCACTCTGACCTCATCTTCTATTATCCTCCCTTTTGTTTACTCTGCTCCTGCTACACTGGTCTTACCATTCCTCGAATAATCTAAGCATGAGCTAACTTTAGGGCCTTTGCACTATGTCCTCTGTGCCTGGAAAGCCCTTCCCTTAGGACCAACTGGCTTTGCTTGTTCTCTTTTTATATCTAAGTACCTTATGCTGACTTCCCTGACCAACCTTTCTAAAATAGATCCCATTCCAACGGCTGTTTTCTAATTCCTTCACTATTTTTTTTTTTTTCCTTCATGGTGCCCATCACTATTTGGCACACTATTTAGTTAATCCAACTCTCAAGTTTCATAAGAGTGAGCACTATTTCTGTCATGTTCAGTGATGAATTCTCTGAACTTAGAATATTTGTCTCTGGTACTCAATAGGGTGCTCAATAAATTTTTATTGATTGCAAGAAAGTTAGTCTATATAATCTACCATAGGGAAACACAGAGAAAGGGAAAAGATACTCAGAAGCAGAGTTCCAGAAATTTCAATATTTCTACCATTCAAAGTTTCACACGATCTGAATGGCTTAGAAAGCCATAGCTTAGAAAGACCAGCTTTTGCTTGGTTTATGGTACAAAAATTGCTCTAGACAAAAAAGAATAATCATGATTTTTAAGAGTTTGAGGTTTTCTAGATTTGCCTCCCGTACTAGGAGATCCTTGACACTGTAAAGGCAGAAGAGTTGGATGGGTGGAATGTGGCTGTTGAAAGGTTCCATGGCAGTTGGTAAAGCTCACCAGTTAGACTGATGGAAGGACCCACTGAGCAGAAGGGGGCCAGGTAGGAGAGCTTCTGGGAAGAGCAGCCAGACTGGATGCTAGCTGCCTGAGTCCTGAGTGGCAATGAGGCATAGAGCAAAAAATGGAGGAGATGGGGAGGCAGACATCTGTGTGAGTCTGCATACTGACCATTGTGGAACATTACTCAGTGACATGGGGCAAGCTACTTAGTCCATGCTCTGTCCTCGCTTGTAAAATGAAAAAAATTTGTATTTCACAGGTTTGTTGGCATAATATATGTGAAAATGCTCTGTGAACTGGCAAGTGTTTGACAACTACAAGTTATTAGCTCTTGGGGGGGGTCTTTCCCCAGAACTTACACAGCGAGTTCTCTAGTCTGCCACCCTACATGTTCCACCATTGAATTTATTGATTGTATACAAACTCAAGGCTCTTGTAAACTTTTGTTATAAAACTCAGGCTCATTCCACAGGGTTCAAAAACACATATCTCAATCTAGCCTTAGAAAAACCTTTGTAACTTGTGACTTAAGGAGCCATGTCTTGGCATTTCAAGGCGCATTCTTTTTGATTATTTCCTATGTGAATGTCTTATTTCTCCAAATTGTTAGCTGCTGGTTATTAAGAGCATAGTCTTCTGAGTCATTCAATTCTGAGTTTAAAACTTGACTTTGCTACTTACTAGCTCTGTGGGACTTTGGATATGTTACTCAACCTCTTTAAGCATTAGTTTTCTCAGCCATAATATTGACATCATAATAATATCATTTGTAAAGGGTGATAATTAAAAGTCATGCTTCTCAAAGTCTTAACCTAGTGTTTGGTACATAGTAAGAAACTAATCAATTTTACCTTTTTAACAATAGCATAGAACAAAGCACATACCAGGGCTTTCCAAAAATACTCCAGTGAGAACTAGAAATAAAGAAAAGAAAGCAGAATAATTCAAGGCCAGTCTTGGATTTAACCTCTCAGCCTATCAATAGGAAATGAAAAGTTTATGGTTTCCTGACCCACGCAGAGACTTACACTGCAGTATAAAGGCAATTTACTTTCTTGGTTTGACAACTGATAAATCTCATTTGAAGTACACAGTGGGTTTAGGTAGAGGAAAGGAATGCTGACAATATTAGTCCTATAATGTTGATTATGGGATACAAGTATGGGCAGCAGACATGTATTTTCTAGGACATTTCCCAATTTCAAATGATCTGTCTCATTTTAAGATTATGCATCTTAATTTTTATTCAGAAAAAAGTTCAAATTTATTTCTTCTCCATCTTACACACACACACACACACACACACACCACGCAGAAATAGACCCTCCCAGCATGGTTCACATGCTATGATCCATTCCCAGTCTCAATCGACATAAGTCATGGATACTGTATATGCCCAGCATACTCAGAGAGGTTCTGGGATGTGAATGCACAACCTTTCCCATGTGGGTTGAGTTGGGTTACCATTTTGCCACCATCTGGCCCCTGTTCGGAAAATTTGATAAACACAAATGTAGTTATATTATTGTACATAGCCCCAAATGGTTAGCAATACATTTATTTATTCAGTTGTTTGATTTCTCTACATAGTCAATGGTTTCCAAACTCCTACTGAGCTCTCTGGCAGCTTCTAAGGGTCAAAGGTGAGACACAGTTATTGACCTCACATTCTGGTGGGGAGACAGACACATAAACAATGCTTTTGAAATGTCAAATGTGCTTTTTAAAGGTTATACACACAATGATAGATGTAGAGGATGGGACAGATGGGGAAGGTGTGACAAAGCCAGAACAGATTTCCCAGAGGAAATGACTAAGATTCTGCCATGTTGCCCACAGGGAAAGGTCCTCTCATGGGGAGGAAATGGCATGAGCCAATACCTGGAGTCACGGGTGACACTACCGAACCACGGTGGGGGTGGGGGCTGTTGGGGAATAAGACTGAAAAGTTAATCTGGGTTCAGACAGTAGAGGGTCTTGAATACTACCATAAGCAGAATTTTACTGAGAAGGCAATGTGGGAGTGCTGAAACATTTTAAACCAGGAATAACCTAATTCTAAAGATAGTGTTGAAGAAATGGGGAGAAGAAATGGAGTGGGGAAAGGCTGGGAGCAGGGAGGGAATAGGAAGGAGTATTGAAAAAGTCCTGCCCAAAGATGATTGGTCCTGACTAGGACTGTGGTCATGAGAATGGAGAGGGGATTGATTTTGAACACATTTCTGATAAAATTAACCTTATCCAGTGCCCTCTTCAAATTACACACACACACACACACACACACACACACACAAAGAAAGACTCCAGTAAGAAAGATAAGTAAGAGAGAGCAATTACAAAAAGTTCAAGAGTTGTGAGCAGTAGTAGAAAGCAAATAATGGTTGGGACCAGCAGTTAGCATACTGGCTATGTTGCTGGACTCCCATAGAGTCGACTGCAGTTCGAGTCCTGAACCCGGTGGCTTAAACTCAAGCCGGGCGCATGTGCATGCCTGCCCAAGATCCTGAGAGGAGAATGGAGGAGAAGAGATTGTGGTGTGGTCATCCCTCCTAGGGGGTGATTTCTTGCTTTCTGTCTCTCTGTCTGTCTCTGTCTTTCTGGTGAGCACACACGCTCTATAGCAAAAACCTCCCCCTCCTCAAAAAAAATTTAAAAAAAAAAAGAAAAGAAAAAGAAAAAAGAAATGGTCTATGATCAAATGAAACTCTGACCATCTGCTGTCTTTGACTTGATCATATGACATGATCATATATGGAGCCTGTAACTCTGGATCTCAGAGGTCTCTCCTTCCTCTTTTTTTCACCAAGCGTGTGTGTGCACACTCGTGCACACACGCAAGCACGCGCAAACACACACACACACACACACACTCTATTTCTCTGCCAGGTAGGAAATTAATAATCGCAGCCAGCTGATCACCAGATCATTCATCTAAGATTAATGGCTGGGTAAAGAGGAGCTTTGAAGATGGAAAATCCTACTGCTTTCTCCTTTAGGGTGTGGTCCTTTTTCAAGTCAGTCTTGTTCACTGGACATAAGATAGCTCAATCTAGTATGGGGTGGGTGTTAAGAGGGTGAACATGTTTTCACATGACTTCTGGACCTGGCAGAGATCCAGTGCAGTTTTTATTTCTTTTTTTTTTTTTTTTTTTTTTTGAGAGGTTTTTCACTATAGGGCGAGTGCGCTCACCAGACAGACAGAGAGAGACATAGAGACAGAAAGTGAGAAATCACTCCCCAGGGGGGATGGTCATGCCGCAATCCCTTCTCCTCCATTCTCCTCTCGGGATCTTGGGCACGCACGCACACGCGCCCGGCGTGAGTTTTAAGCCACCGGGTCCAGGACGCGAACCGCGATCGACTACGTGGGAGTCCAGCGACATAGCCATTACACTAACTGCTGGTTCCCATTTTATTTTATTTTTTAAGTTTATTTCTTTCTTCATGAAAGAGAGAGACAGAGAGAGACCCTTCACAGGGTCTCACCATGCCAAGATTTCCTTCCCCCAACCCCCACAGGCTTACCTTCTCCCCTTATTCCTTTAGCCAGCCAGAACCACAGGTGCTGGGCATACCCATAGGCATGCCCAGCATGTTCAGGTTGACCCAGGACCCAAATCCAACCTATGACCTCTTGTATGGTTCCAGTATTTGTGTGATGGGCACACCACCACCTCCATTGCCACGGCTGGGCCCAGTGTAGTTTTCACAGAAGGAATGTAGAGATGGAGCTGATAGAGTCAGAGGCAGGAGGGAGACTCTTGGAAGGGGATTGGAAGGTAGTGGGAAGCTGACTAGACACATATCCCCTGTTCTTCAAGGCATTCAACACGTATTTATTAGGTACCATGTGCCTGCTACCATTATGTTCTGCATAATCCACTTACTCATTTACTATGAATATCAGCATCTGCCTTAGACCCTAGGAATACAGAAGCAGTAAGTGAAACTAATACTATCTACCTCTGCCATCATGCTCTTTGTTAGCTCAGCTCTAAGGTTGGTAGGACAAAGTTAGGCATGAATGGGAGGATGTCCTTTTTTATGACTCTCCCATGTATGTGTTGAAAGAATGCTAGGCAATTTTGACAGCTTCACCCATTAAATTGTAGCCTCTGAATTTTCGGTGCTTACCCTACTGCCTAGCCTGTAAGTAATGCTCAGTAAAAGTCTTGAATGAAACAAAAGAAAACAAAACCTGATTGCTCTAAGAGGCAATTTCTAATTCTGTGTTTGGTGTGGCAAGAATCTTTGATCTTGAAGTGAGGGACAGGAAAAGTGGCAAGTACTAAACCCCACTGTGCAAAATCACACTGTTCAGAGTTGCAGAAATACAAAATGTATATGAGAGTGGACCTATTATAGTAATTTATGCTGTTTCCTTGATTTCACAGCAATAGGTGACCCAGCACTCAGTCTCTCCTAGCATTAAGATTTGAAGCCACCTTATCATGAGACCCATTTTATAACCTTTATCCAATTAAAGGAAGGAGCATTATATGTCGAGCTGCCATTGTATTTCTCCAACATTGGGAAAGCAGTAATAGCAACTGGAATGTAGATGTTAGTCATAATCATTTATATTAGTTATAACCATTTTATATTTGTAGAATACTTATACTTTTTCAAAATAGTATTTATGTCATTGGATCTCATTTGATAATATAGCATAATGAATTGGATAGATATTCTGTTCTCCTTTTCAGATAAGAAAAGGGAGATAAAGTGAGAATAAATGATTTATGCAAATACACACAGCTGGTTATGAGGCGAGTTTGTGTAGAAATCAGAACTTTTTTTTTTTTGAGAGGTTTTCCACTATAGGGCGCGTGCGCTCGCCAGCCAGACAGAGACATAGAGACAGAAAGCGAGAAATCACCCCCCAGGGGGGATGGTCACGCCGCAATCCCTTCTCCTCCATTCTCCTCTTGGGATCTTGGGCACGCATGCACACACGCCTGGTGTGAGTTTTAAGCCACTGGGTCCAGGACGTGAACCGCAGTCGACTACGTGGGAGTCCAGTGACATAGCCATTACGCT